TATAATCTAAGGAACTCTGAAAACAAACTAGCTGTTCCATTGCCCCGCACCAATTTCCTGAAAAATAGCTTTAGCTATAACGGTGCGGTTATCTGGAATAGCTTGTCCCCTGAATTGCGGCAAGCAAAATCACTTCAATCTTTTCGAAATGGTTGTCGCGATTTCTTCGTCTGAATCGACAAAACGCACACGGCATCTATGTAAAGCAGAATTTCTTTATTTTTTCTATTTCACTTTTAAATTTTAGATCATGTTTATATAGATTAAAGTAGATTGTAATTGTAATAATAGATTGTAATGATATTATTATTTATCTGATAGATTTACCGTGTCTAAATAAAACTAAAGTTCAAGTTCAAGTTCAAGTTCAAGGCACTTCAATTTAGGGAGGAACTTTTAACATTTCTGTAAATACATTGAACGAAAGTCCTACTTTGGCTCCGAGATCCAAAAAAGCTCGTCACTTTGTTATTGAATCCGACAGCGACTAAAAGGGACTCTACCCTATTTATTGATATCGTATTTAGATTTACAAAAAAGAAAAAAAAAACTTTTGTGATTGCAGTTTTCCGTTCAGCACTTTATTCCCTTGATGTACATGTACTGCGATTTTTTCTATTGCCATTAAATTTGCATTGTTAGTGAGTTTTAGTTTCTAATCTGCATCCAGAAAATTATTTCAATGAAAATTCTCGTGTTATCTGCAATAAACAGCTCACGACATAGAAAGTGCTTTGTACGGGATTTTATTCACTCGTTGTTTGTGTCAAAAGCCCTCACTCGCTCGTACCTCGCTCGTTCGGGTTTTTGACACAAACAACTCGGGAATAAAACCCTGTACGCCGCACTTTCTATGACGTAAACTATATATACTTGCCATTTTTATACAGGCAGAACTACAAGCTCCGTTGTTCCTGGTTCTGGAGGTAGGTGTGCCAAATCGATTTAGCAAAAGCCCTCACTCGCTCGTACCTCGCTCGTGCGGGTTTTTGACACAAAAAACACGTGAATAAAACCCTGTGCGCCGCACTTTCTATGGCGTAAACTATATATACTTGCCATTTTTACACAGGTAGAACAGCAAGCTCCGTTGTTCCTGCTTCTAAAGGTAAGTGTGCCAACTCGATTTGGAAGGTCGTAATTAATTCTAACAAGGCTGAAACGTGACTGTAAGCGACAAAATGGAAAGGTGCCAAAAGGGAAAAAGGAATGAGGAAGTTCGAGAACAGGAAGGGATTCAACAAGGAGAGAAAGACAGACATCAAGTATGTGGGTACGCTTCTAGATACCCCCTGATCCTGTTAGTGTAGTAAATTTCCCCTTACTTTATTTCTCGTACGTAGCTGGTCAAAGCACTGGTGGCACACGTCCCTTTCAAGACGTATATCAGTTATCGAGGGTAAAAGCAGATCGCACCAAAGAAGAAGAACGGGTTTTCAGACGTAAGTATGGTAACCCATTCAATTTTATGAATACGGCATCCAGTCGTCTCGAACCCGTGGATGTTTCCTACTTAGTCGATTCGTACCCAGGTTCCTAACATTCAATGACGATCAAAACCCAAGAGATCTAGCAAAATACCTCAAGTGCGAGGGCTTGAACTGAAGTCAATTGTTCGGTACGACAAGTTTGTAAAGACTCAAACAAGTAAGTGTATACTTGTTACCTTTTCAACAATAGCAAATAATTTTCTTTGCAGAAGGAAAGAGAGATATTTGGATTAGTTTATACTATCGACTTTCTTACAATAACTGGCTAATCAGTGCATAAAACAAATTAATTTTTCTTTTCTCAGTTCGTGAGCGGGTGGTATTCTACAAATTGTTCAATCTGATTGGTTCCGAGAGCGGGCAGTATTCTACCTATCCGGCCCGCTCACAGCGGGCGGTATCCGTTTCGCTTGAGTCATTTTGTAAAACATCTCAAACTTCGTTGCAATTTTACACTAAATTGATGTATGTCATTTTGCCGGCTGGGCAGAATTTTTGAGCAAAGACTTTGGCCATGACCTTTTGGCGATAAATAATATTAATTCTTTCTTCTCTCTCGCTCTCAAATCACTTTGGTTTTTCAGCAAAAGTTGATTTCGAAATGAATTTTGTGGTACTACACTTGTTTTTAAAAAGATTGAAAGGCGGTTGAAAAATTTGTGATTCAATAATCCTTCACAGAAAGTAACTCAGAAAGTTAAAACGAGACGTAGTTGCAGTTAACAATTACGTTAATCAGTGTGACTCTCATTCGT